GCTGCTCAAGTCTTCTGCCATTTCTTGCAGGTAAAGACTATGTGTGTTTTCTTTGGTTCTTTTAGTATACATTAGGCAGAGTGTGACCTGCCGAATATGGGGTACATTGGCGTTGTGGCAGTCTTATGCAATGTATGATCATATAATGTAACTAAATCCCCATACTTTTCATATATAGTGCTTAGTTATGTCTCCTCTTGTTTTGCCTATTATATCTTGTCTTGTTTTATTTTGTAATCCCAGTTCATGTACAGTCCTGTCCTGCCCTGTTCTAGTTTTCCTCATGTCTTGTGTAGATGTTCTGGGTTCTGCTTTCTGTCCTGCTCTGGTTCTGGGTTCTATTAGTTGCTGGATCCTCTCTTCTTTCCTGGTCTCTGCCTGAGAGCTGCTTGTCGCGCCCGGAGGTCGCTCCTTAAGAGGGGAGTTATGTCACATCATGCCGTGTTCTGTGGAGATGTCTGGCTTTGGCTTCTGGTATCCAGTACTCTTTTTAAAATTTTTGTTAAGTTTTCCTGTTTTTTTGGTTTTCTATTCTGTGTCTAGTTTTCTTTATGCTGGGTTTTTCTGGGTTCATTCCTGTAATCCGTCCCTGGAATTCCCAGTCTCTTGGATTCATTTAAATGTTTGTTTTATTTTACCGCCACCCGTGACAGTTGGAGACCTACACAATATTAGGCAGGTGGTTTTACTGTTGTGGCTGATCAATGTCTACTATGTGTATTCACATATTTTTATGTATATATACATATCAATCATATTACAATTCTCATCTCATACAAATCTCATACAAAATTAATTGAGTGAAGCTACTTTTTGAAAAAAAAACATTTTCATTATTTGCAGCATAAACTCAATCATGGACACACATTCTTTTCACTTTCACTGACACACATTCTCACTGACAGAGTTGTGGGAGATGTACAACAGGTGGGGATCTACCTTTTGGCCATACTTGTGATAGAAGGGACCCCAAAAAAATTATTTCACCATGGCCCTCTCAATTTTAGTTCCGCCATTGCCTAATATATATCTATCTCATCTGATCTCCTTGTGAATTAATTGAGTGCTAGCCAAAGACTTGTAAAAGTTAGGTAATAATGTGTGGTCTAATTTTGCCATTCACTTGGATAAAAAAAATACATTATATCACTAAATGTTTTTGCATGTAGAAACAACTTATTATGCTAACATGAATTATAAGTATGTTAGCATAATAAGTTGTTTCTACTGCATTGTTAAAGAAATAATGGTTATCTGCTATTATCGGTTATCGAATCCATTATACATGACATCCTGTGAACAAAAGTGTAGTTTTTAGTACAGTGAGAGGTGGTGTTTGCCCAATATATTGGCTATTTTTTAGCACCAGTTCACCTGGACACTCTAAAAAAAACTTTAATTAAGTTAGTGTTCTCTTTAAAAATGGTGCAAATACAATAAAAGAGGGAGCAATTCCTAAATAATTTTAACAGGACTTTAATCCATCGTCAAAGAATGGACTTGCCAACAGTTTGAACCAAATGGTCTTTGCCAAGCTTGACAAAGAATGTTTAGGTCAAAACGTTGAAGGGTCCATTCTTATTAAAGTTACATTAAAATTATTTTTGTGTTGCTTCCTCTTTTATAGTTTTTTTTTGTTGGATGTATTGCTGTATTTAGAGTGGGGTCCTGGAGATTGCACCAACGCATGTGGTGAGCTGGTTCTACATCGTTTGTTTCATTTAGAATAAATTTGTGGTTGAGAGAGGCTAGCTCAGGTGGGCAATTAAATCATGGATGAGTAATTAAATCATGGGCTTGTAGCTCTGTTAAGGGCATACTTAGAAATGAAAACTCAATGTATCCCTTCCTAGTAAAATATTTCACGAATAAATGTATAAATTATTTAATTATACTGGATCTTTGCAACAGAATCTATAGACAACACAGCTGATGCTGCTTTTGAGCACTTGTTTACCATCAAAAAAATCTTATTAATAATGATGTTTTTACAATTTTATATTCATCAACGACAATAAGTAAATGAAAAAAAGGTATAGATTTAATTGGCATACTAATTTTTAAGAAGAAATTAAAAACAAAGGAAAATATACTGAACATAAAAAAAATGAAATTAAAAAAATAAATTTGCACAAGGCTCCTTGACAAAGGCTTGACGTTGAAACGTTGGGGCTTTATCCTTTTCTTTGGGACCTTTAGTTTCTCCCTCTTCTATGAACTCCATGCACTTATATTTCCTTCATATTTACTTGTTTGCATGATATGTATTATTTTATGTATATACTGGTACTATAGTTGTTATATTATTTTTTATTTTTTATTTGTTTTTGATTTATTTATTCTTAGGTCTTTGTCATTTCTGTTATTTTCTTTGTATATTAATCTGTTTTGCTCTATTATGTGTTATTATGCCAAGGATATACCACCTATTCTTGCTTTTTATTCTCTTTGGATATTGTACAATATTGTCTTCCTGATGTATTTAGTTCTTATGAACATATAATATGTTCTGAATAGATGCAATAAATGTGTTATATTTTCCTTTTGGGTGTGCTCCTTTGTGATTTACTTTTGTACTCTGGAAGGATTGAGTTATTAAGTTTGCACACTTTTTGCTTTTTGTATTATTACTTTGTGCATTGACTAGTATTTATGCTATAAGAGTGTCCTTCTATTTAAGTGGTTTTTTTTTTTTTTGCTAAGCATATTTAACAGGTGGTCCAATAAGATCAAAATAACTTCTTGCTGAGAAAATAATTTTCATAATTTTTGTACAAAATATGATCTTTTATATTTTGCCACACAATTATCTCCACAAAAAAACCTTATGTACATAGTTGGTTGGGCACTTATCTGCAACTCTATCTCTACTGCAGAAGTGGAAAACATGATGCTCCAAAAAAGGTTATTTGATATAAAAAATACTCTTCACCATAGTCAGAAAATCACTGGCATGGCAGGGAGTTTAAAGTCTTAGAGGGGTCCAGCAAGGATGACATTTGAGGAATTAGTCAAACAATTGCAAAATGACCTTGGTGGACAGGCATTTATGTATACTGCATCCTTATTGCCCTTCGGAGATAAAGAATATAAAGAGTATAAAAACCAAATGCACAAGTCTACTTTGCACACTCTCATCATGCAAGAGGGGAAGACATGTAGGTTGTTAGACAATGATAATTCAAATATTTTCCTTTAAAACAATTTGGCAGACTTTCATAAGAATAAAGCATTATATGATAAAAAAAATATTCTCAATGGGAAATGACAAAAATAAATCCTTTTGTGCATGTAGCTGCCAGAACGATGAGGAAAGGTCCTCCACTTGAAGTACAAAGACTCATCTAGGGTTGAACCATTGCCAAGCCAGTCTTTCCGGCTGAATAGAATCATGTTTGTTTTGTCACATTGCACTGAAGCACTGTGTTATTGTTTGTGTTCAGTTAATTAGAAATAATATTTTATTTTTTCTCTGATGGATTATGGGATTATGTGGTTTAGTGAAATGTTTTTTATATGTACACTGGCTCCAAATGTACCGCCCTGTTATCATCTGTTTGAGAAGCAAATAACATATCATATGGTAACAAATATAGCCTTGAAATGACATGCTTACGCTTGATTGATATGCATGTATCAACAAAAAGAAGTATACCACTGTTTAAAGCAAAATAGTTTTAAATGTGTTTATGTATGTGCTTGTCGTGTGCAAGCTTGTAATATATCTGTAATACCTTGCATATGGAATTAGAATAAAAAAAATAAAATTCCATAAAAAAATCTCAAAATGTAAAATAGACCGATGCAGAGCGTATGAGTATACAATTCCGTGTAGTATAAATGTACAAGTTACATCAGTGAAAATAGTAAATTTATGTTTTTAAAATATTCAGAGAAGGAGGAAATTCCAATTATGGACAATTTTGTTGTGTGAGTAAGATTAGCGAGATGATTAGTGGTGGCATATGGATAAATTGGCTTCCAGAGAGTCTGTATAACTAGACAAGCCTGAAAAATAATGTAAAAATGCCTTCAGGAGGAGTTTTCGATTTTATGCAATGCCTGGAATTTTCAGAAGTGATATTGAAACAAGAAGTACCTTTACTGGTGATGGTAAATGTTTCAGAAGACAAAAAATATAGTTAGAAGAAAGTATATATGCTTAACAGAGATTTATCTAGTCCGTTGTACAATACAATATTGTGTATGATATGGAGGGGCTTGGTGTAGTACAGAGAGGGAAGGTAGGGAAAGTCAGTGTGAGTGATTTAATCCATTAGGGACATAAGGCAGGTACTGCCACAGTTACAGACAGCCAAATGCACTGATCTAGTAGGGAACAAGTGTTTTTAACCTATTGCATTCAATATGGACACAGCATTGTGTATGTTAATTAAAAGTATATTTACAGGACATTAAGACCAAACAAAAGCGGTCCTGATTGATTGCAGGACATTCACATTGTGTAATTTTACCAGGCATAAATAATTATTGTGTTTTTTTTTTAAATTTTATAATATATTTTTTACCTTTAACTTTTAAAGCAGCTTGGTTTGAAGATGTAATGAAACTGATTTGTGTACTGAACAGGTAAGAGCAAAGAGGACCTACATCATCTCAGCTTCTAAAACACTTGAGCAGACAAGTCTTAGAAAATGAATATGACAGTTATTTTAAGCAGGATTCTGTGATTTTCTACATGTACGTAAGCAATTTAATACAGAAAATTCTGAAAATGTGGTGTGGCTTGGCGCCGGACGAGAATGGCCGCCTAATCCTCTCGCTCCCCTCCTGATTGCACAAAAGCACGACTAAATAGCACAATCTGGCACCCATGGGACACACCAGATGAGCCCAAATGACCCCCTCTACTCCGAGAACGCAAGGGAACTACCTGCACCCCTCGATAAGAAGTTACCTCGATAAGAAGTGACATCCTCTCACAGGATGAGGCTTCCAATATGGCGCCCTCCTCACCAGGCTCCAGCACAGGAATCACTATGCCTGCCCCGCCAGCAATGGACTGGTATGCTCTTTTTACGTCCTTACCAAAAAAGGAGGACTTTCAATCCCTCCTAGAGGAGGTTAAGACCATGCTGCGCACAGAGATTTCGGCCCTCGGCACCTCCCTTACAGCGCTGGAGGCGAGGGTGCAGACCCTAGAATCCCAGAGCCCCGACCTGCACTGTCCCGCGGTCACGACCACTAAAGCACAAGTTAAGCAGATACAGGACCTGCGCCTCCACGTCGAGGACCTTGACAAACGCAGCCGTAGACACAACATAAGGGTAAGAGGCTGCAGGGAATCAGATATCCTAGAGGACACTAGGGCCATCCTGATACCACTTTTCAACCACATCCTGGGCCAGCCTAGGGAAGCCCGTATCCCTATAGACAGAGCTCATAGGGCACTGAGGCCCAAACCACCCCTGGGCGCCCCTCCCAGAGACATAATCTGCCATATACCAGACTTCCAACTTAAGGAAGACATCATGAGGAAATCCCGCTCAGAAAGATCCTGGAGGCATGAGGGGCAGATGATCGAGCTATACAACGACCTCTCCCACCTCACCCTGCAGGCCTGAAGAGCGCTGCGGCCCTTAACCACCTCTATGCAGGAGGCCCAAATTCGATACCGATGGCAATTCCCCTTCGCCCTCACAGCCCGACGGGGCAACACCGAAGCCACAATCCGGATACCGCGAGACATCCAGGCCTTCCAAGAGGCCCTTGACCTCCTACAAACCCCCATCCTGGACTGGACCAATTGCCCGGTGAACGAACGCTCTGCAGGAAGCCCAGTTCATCGCAACATCCAGCAGGGACCAGACACCGACTACACCCCTCTTCAGCAAGCAGAGCCTGAGGAATAGAGAGGGTGCTACTCACTCCGCTTCCCACATCACTCAGCACCTATTTCTGGTCTGTAAACCGGAGGGCCCAACCTGCCTGGGACAAAAATGGGGTGACACCACATCCAGAGACTTTACCTTTTCCAACTGTGGAACACAATGCCTCTTTGAACCACCAACCTGTCTTACTCCTGCACTATAGGAGCACGAAGAACAGATTCTCCCACCTACCCCCCCACCTTTTTATTTTTTACTTTTTCACTTTTACTCATTGAATTATCGGATATTACCCACCCACCCAGGGACTGATTGCAACAGCACCTCACAGCCTCGCACGATCGGACATCACCTTGTCCTCCCACTTGCCCTGGACAGTCCCCAAGATTCTCCAGCTTGCTAAATGGGCCCTGCCACTAAGGCCACCAGCACGCCCAACCGAGCACCCCTGGACGGAACACCACTTCACACACGACTTGCCTGGCACTGTTCCCGCGGGATGGGGTACTGACGCCCAGCAAAAACTACTAATGATACTTATTGGTGTTCTTAACTATGTGTTTAATTGAAAATTTAACCATATAACAGCAGGGGACGGATGAGGACCAGTTGTGACTCACCGCCAACCGAGAAGTCACTAGTAGGTGACTTATCCTCCCTCCGACGCCATCAACCCCACGGGTTCACTGCCAACAACCTGTGAGGTGGACACACAGGACAACATCCCTAGACTTCCACCTTCCAGCGGCACATTATCCCTAACTACTGTCACCTCCGTGACTCAACAACACTCACACTCACTGCCCCACATTACTCGCTCCACTATCCCCTACCCGCTCCCTTCTTCTTTTCTCCCACAGACCTCCCTACCCTCTTTTCCTACAACACCGCCTAACCCGGGACCGGGGGGACCCAGTAACGTGGGCTCGCTCTCTCCCGCTCCCCACGCCCCCAGTGCGGGCAGATGTGATAGAAACAACATCAACCTCTACACGATCAATGCGAGGGGCCTCAACTCCCCACACAAATGGGCCAGGGTGCTGCGAGAGATCAGAGCACTGGGGGTATCGATTGCCTTCTTCCAGGAAACCCACTTCCATGCACCCCAGGGTCCTAAGTGCTCCAACAAATACTACCCCACCGGGCACTTCGCACACAATCCCTCGAATAAATCCAAGGGAGTGGCCATACTGTTCTCGGCGGACATCCAGTTCCACTTGGAAGCGGAGGTAAAGGCAGATACCTCTTTCTCAAAGGGAAAATAGGCGACTCCAGAATCACACTTGCAAACTTGTACAGGGCCCAAATAAGGGCCAGAAGCAGTTCCTGACCTCCGCCCTGAGAACCCTGGAAACATTTGGAGAAGGAACCGTCATAATCGGAGGGGACTTTAATGCCCCCCTGGACCCCAGAATGGACACATCGAAAGGAACCTCCACGATACCAGACCATGTCCTCCGGGGCATGAGGACTCTTCTCTCGGACCACAAGCTCGCAGACTGCTGGCGCATTCTCCACCATGCGGACAGGGATTACACTTACTATTCGACACCACACAGATCCTACTCGAGAATAGATCATTTCTTCACCCAACACAGAGACCTAGACACACTGATATCTGCCCGCATAGCGCCCATGAACTGGTCGGACCACGCACCGGTGATCCTTACCATCGAAAATCCCAGGCCCTTCAGATCGCAATGGACGTGGAAACTAAACAAATCCCTCTTAGAGGACCCACTAATACAAACAGAAATACGCACTGCCTTAGAGCACTACTTCCTCACCAACAAGCCACCTGACTGCACACCACCCAACATCTGGGAAGCACACAAATGCGTCATCAGAGGGATCCTTATTAAACACGTCACCCGACTGAAAAAACTGTGCGCGCAAGAAATCACACATCTCGTCGACCAGTTAGCCCAACTGGAAACAGGACACAAGCACACCCTCCACGACGCTACCTACAAACAACTCCTGGAAGCCAGGAACTCAACGCACGCCTAACATCAAAGATTCAATTCCAGTTCCAACTCACAAAAAAAACATTTTACGAGTTTGGAAACAAACTTCCCACACACCTGGCTACTCCGCTTTAAATACCATCAACTGACGAGGTTCCTGAAGAACATGCCCGGGCTGGACTCAGCATCACGAGCGCTCTCTACATTCGAGGCTGTCTGCACAAACCCCCCAACCCCACTGCACGCAATCTCGTTCCTCTACCGATTACAAATCACATCCCACACCGATGCGCCTCTCCCTTACTTCACTAGATACTTGGAAAGGGACCTAGGACACACACTCTCTGTGGAACAATGAACCACAGTGTTTACACTCATACACAAAGCCTCCATAGCCACAAAATTCCAGGAAGCTGGGTATAAAATGATCTCACACTGGTACAAGACACCAGAGAAACTAACCGTAATAAAGGCCACCTGCGAACCGGAATGTTGGAGAGGCAGGAGGGAACTGGGTTCCCTCTTCCACGTCTGGTGGACATGCCCACTCATCAAACCCTTCTGGTAAGTGATCCACAAAGTCTTAGTGACCATAACAGATGCAAACCTACAACTCACAACTGAAACCTACCTGCTCCAACTAACCTCAATTCCCATAAATAGATTCAAAAGATCAATAATACCGCACCTACTAAACGCAGCATGCAGTCTTATTCTGGGACAGTGGAAAAAACCCACAGCCCCGACAATGAGAGTATGGTTGACGCATTGAGGAGCTAATCCTTTCAGTGGCAGGGCACATACAGCGCTATTATGACACCTGGTACCACTGGCTCTTGCCCCAGGAGGGAACAAACGACGACAGTGAAGCCATGATGGAAGGGTCGCCAGACCAGATGACCCAGGATGAACACGCAGATGCTGGGCCCGTTGGGAGCTAGGATGTGGACCTGAGCATGAATCCTCCTAGCCCACACCTAACCTTTCACACCTCACCCTGCTTACCCTGAGCCTTTTTCACCCCTCCCCTTCAATACCTCTATCACGCCCTCTCCCTGACAAACACAGCCACACATAATCCTCTGCTAGCGCAACAACAACGAGAAAGGAAGCCACATAGAACAACCAACACATACAACCCACCCCCTGACACAGTAGGAACACCACAAAATGCAACTCGACTTGTTCCCATGTGACTCGACTGCGACAAATGGCAAACACACACAAACGACAGCACCCCAGCGACAGATCCCCCGCCACACACCACAGACCGACTAACGAACCTCTGACTCCTCAACCCTAACCCTTACGCTCCAGACAGATCTGGCCGCAGCAGTATCCCGACCCGCATCTCCCTGCTGCCCACGAGTCCCCCCCTTCTCCCTAAGTATTAGGCCTTGAGTTTCATGTTTAGAACCCCAGTGAAATACATACCCCACTATATATAGGTATTGCTCACCACAGCATGTCCCTACTACATACAGTAACCACACCAGTACCTGACTAACTGGAAATGTATTTCTTAGCAAACAATGTTAGTTAAGGGATCTGCTATACATGTATTGTATACTCCCAAACTGAAGATCAAATTGTATACCATGCTGAACTGTCCAGCACTGTAATCTGACATGTATAAGTTTATATCCATCTGTAACTATAGAATGACCTCAATAAAAACCTTGAATAAAGAAAAAAAATGTAATGTAAAAAAAATGTTAATGTTCAAATGTGAAAAACCTAAAAAAAAAAAAAAATCTGAAAAAGTTTACTGTAATAAGCAGCCACAAGTTGTCACAATAGGTAATAAGCTAATAAACTTGTACAATAATGTTTAAGATGTGTTCTTTGCGTCATAACCACCACAATGTGCTAACATGTTAAAAAAAAATATTGGATATGTGCACAAGCACATGCTAACATATTAGTTTTGGCTTGACTTTGTAAAAGAAGATTTAGGAAACGGGTTGTCCATGTATGCTGCAGACATGCTGGTGGCCAATGCAAGACTGGCAGGTCGGGTCACAGCAGCTGCAAGGGAAAATATGGTTTGACTTTGATGCCTAATGTCACGGTGCTTAGACTGTTTCTTTTTAATATCAATATCTTCACTGCATGCGTTCTTGAAGGAGGAGGTAGCCTGATGAATGGTGTGTATCCAACTCTTGTGATCAGAGGTTAGAGCAGACCAGTTACAATGGTCAATGTGACAGACACAAAGTGATTTCTTTAGAGAGTCCATATACCTCTTCTTTGGTGCTCCTCTGTTGTGATGCCCAATGGTGAGTTCACCATACAGCACAACCTTAGGTAGGCGATGATCTTCCATCCTGGAGACAAGCCCTGCCCAGCACAGCTGCGACTCCAAAATCATTGCCTCAATGCTGGTGGTCTCTGCTTTTTTGATATTAGTAAATTTCGAATATATGCCTTGTGTGTCTCTGGTCTGACCCTCAACAGATATCACTATTAGTGAAATCAGTTCAATCCATTTTCGGATGAGATTCATTGACTGACAATGTCAGCTGACAATTTAAGTCAAATGATTAAATTCAAATAAGGTCAAACTTAATATGTTTAATGCATAATAGAACTTTAGATATCTGAAAAGTGGTCTGGGTGGGCGTTGCTTGTGGAACCCAGCTAACTATAAAGCCATTTGAAAACAGTTTGATTACTTCCTGTGAGATGGCACCAGGAGACTAGAGGAATCATAATCATTAAAGCACCCTATAGACATTATGATGTTTGCTCTTCATCTGCCATATTTAGTGGCAGATGCAGCGCAACAGATAGCAAAGTCAAGTAGGAAACAGTGATTGGGACTTCATTGATTCACAGAAGATTAGGAACTGTGAATTGTTATGTCTGTGTGATTCTCAAGGTCACCAGTTTTTACTTAAGGATCCAAAAGTAAGACCAGGTGGTCGTGAAGATCAG